CTCAATTTCCTTTTCCTTTTCTTACTCTGCTACTTTCCTTTGTGTTTTCCCTCTCCTATTGACAGGGGGCAAAACAATGAAAGATTCGGAGTCGGTGGGGCCTTCCCCAACTGTCTGACACCAGCCATAAAAACCACCTGAAGCCACTCAAAAAATATCCAGAGGTTACGGGAGACTGAGGACCTTTGGGGGATCTATTGTACAGGCCTTCTGGGGGGGAAAGGTGAATTCCTGGATGGAAGCAGAGCTCCGGGGGAAATTCCCTCAGAGCCCTTGTCAATGATAACTTGCGGGAACCTCAATTCCCAGAATTCCCCAGCCAGCATGGGCAGCATTCCGGAGGTTGAAGTCCCCACATCTGAAAGTTAGCAGGGTTGAGAAACGCTGCTTAGAGGAATGGTGGGAAAGGTGACTTTTCAAACAGTTTGAAGAGAAGCAGGAAAGAAGCAGGGGAAAGACGTCCACCAGAAACCGGCCACGGAGGGCCACGTTCCTTTGGGGGGAAATAACGTTTCACTGAATCAAAGACTCTCTTGAGGCCACGGGTGTGTGTGTGCGCGTGTTCTGCGCTTGGCTAGCCCTCTGGCCTTCGCTTCTTCCTTCTGCACGTCCAGCGTTGCCCAAAGAGAGGGCGGCAGGCGGGCAGAGGGGGGTGAGCTCGGCCAGAGAACCTTCATCACGGAAATCCATTTTTGATAGAGGGGAACTTTGGACAGGATTTGTCTGGAATGGCATAGAGGGGAAGAGGATAGCCGACCCCCCCCCCAAGGCCCTTCCCAGCTCTGTCATTCTGAGGGGGAGCATGAATTCAGAGAGGCCCCCTCGGCCTTTTCAGTTCAGCACAAAGGATATTGGTCCTTTCTCAGCACATTTTAAACAACAGCCTAAAACTTCTAACCCCGGGTGGGGCAGGTGAATTGTCCTCCCAGGGCTTGATAGGATTTCTCCTTTCCAGCCCAGGGTTCAACCGGTTGCATCTCAAACCAGGCCTCCGTTTCCAAGAACCCATTTTCTCTGAAGGCACTTAGCCAAATATAGTAACAGCACGAATGTTGACTCAGAAGGAATAGTTCCATCGATTTTAATTGTATCTCCTCCCAAGTAAGATTGCATCTTAAAAAATTAATAAAATTTAATTTCATTTAGAGTTGGGTCCCAAACATACAATAATAAAATTGAACATTTAACCGTGAAGTCAGAGCCTGATGTTCAGAAACACCGGCTCTGCCAAGAAAGCCCGGCCAGCTCCGTGGCACTCCAGGAGCGAACTCCGGCTCAGCCGGAGGGGCAGGCGGTGCCCCGCTGTGCGCATAGAGCCTCTTACCTTTGAGGGATGCTACTTGGGACAAGGCCTGGGCATAGGTGGCCGTGTTGAGGAGGGTCCCGGGCAGGCAGGAAGGGAAGAAGGATCCAGAAGGACCAACCGCTCTGCTGAGGCTGCAGTGGGGGGGGGAGGGGGGAGGGAAGATGACAAGCAAGCAGTTCAAGGATGGATCGATCCCCTGTCCTCTCAGCATCATCCACCCGCCTTCAGGAACAGCAAGAGCCCGAGAAATGGTTGCCTGTCCCTGGACGGAGGTTGACCACCACGTTCCTTTGAAGACCCAAAGCGGCCACTTGCTAGCCTGGGTTGGAATTTCACTCGAGGTGCTGACCTTCCAACGCTCGACGGCCCAGAACCAGAGAGCCTCCATTAGGTCTCCCTTGGGGCTTCAACCATTAAGTTCTTCTCCAGGTCCCATCACTCCAGACGGCAGGTCCTCCTCCTCCTCTCCAAGACTTTCAAAGCCAAATGGTAACTTACCAATTCCATTGAGCTCTTGGAAGATAACCGGCTAATTCCTCTCCTTTGGGTTGCTACTAATCCAGTGCTTAATTGTTCGGCCTATTTATATGTTTGCAGGGGGATCTACTAAGAGGCTCCCTTTCTCTCCAGAGTGCGGGATATGGAGCAATGGGCTGGATCTACAGGATGGCGGATTCCCGTGCTGGAGTGCCCCCAAGAGCAGTTTCACTGTAGCACGGGGGAGGCTAGAGCAGGGCTTTAAAACTTCAGTTCCCAGAATTCCCCAGTCAGAAAACGGGGGCTTGTTTTTTCTGTGCAACTCTGAAAGAGGCCATTGTCCCTTTCATTCCCATCTCCTCTCGGTTATCAGCTGTAAAAACCACCGTTTTCATGTTAGGACAACTACACGAGGCCCTGTGGCATCCATGTACTTTATACGCCTTTGGCATCTCCCCATGGGGCATGAAGTAACCAGCCAATTTGTCCCCATGGCGAACCAGGTAAAAAGCCCGCCAGGTGTTGCAAAAGCACCAAACGCTCCAAGACAGACAGAGAGACAGGCACGGGCCCGGAGTAAAAGTTGAGACGGAAGTTGTGAGAAGCACTGATGAGGAGGGGCAGAAGCATCTGGCTTAAGAAGGACGGTTCTTAAGGAAAAAGAAGGAAAGTAAGGAGAGAGAAGGCTGTTGCCAGGAGGTGAGCAACAGCAATGACAACAAAATGAAGTTCAACTTTAAAAGAAATTCCAGAAGAAGAAGAAGAGGAGGAGGAGGAGGAGGAGGAGGAGGAGGAGGACTGGTCCTGCCTCCCACTTTCCACCTGTGTAGGAACATGGGAAGGATGAGAAAGTATGCCTCATCGATTTCTCCCCTCTGTGCAACCACAAAAGACTTGTGCAACACAATTGCAAGCCGTCTTATAGGAAAGCCAGGAGAGAACCCATCCCTGGTGCTTGGAGAAAGGGCTCAGAAGCCCCCTCCCCATTTCTCCTTCCATTTCTGCCTAGATCCCTCTTTGCATGAGTGCTGCCCTCCTTTCCTCCCTTGCCCCATAGAAGCACGGGGGCTCAATTTCTTCTATGTTTCCAGGACTAAAAAGCTCAGCAGACAATAGAGGGTTATGTCTTCATTAGTGTTGCCTACTGAGTATAACCTTGTGGTGGAGCCATCTGAACATCTTCTCCTCTGTTACAGGACACCCCTCCTTTTAAATCTACATGACATCAATTCATTCACATTACTTGCCTCCCTTAGATTTAATTTGAGGTTTGGGACCCAGGAAGACTAGGAGGACTTTGGACAGCTCCCCACCTCTCCTGCTCTGCCTAGGAGCCCTCCTGGAGGGGGAACTGGCAGGAAAGCTTACCTCTGCTGAATCTCCAGGCTCTCCTTCTTATTCCTGGGTTGGTCAACGGGGGAGGGGGAGCTTAAATTTCTTCCAGGGGGTGTCACTTCGGTCACGGCCTCCTTAGAACCTTCTGGATCTGAAGACCCTCTCTCTGTTTTCCTCCACTTAGCTCTCCTGTTCTGGAACCAGACCTGAGTCAGGTGGGAGAGAAGCACCGAGGATCCTTATGTGAACATTAAAAAACAAACCACACTTGTGGATTCGTCTTCTTTTGACAATCTTCTAAGACAAATGAGGCTCTAGGAGAAGGTCGAGGTCATGTGCCCTAGTCATCTCCAAAGAATAGGAGGAAAACAAAGAGCATTTGGGCGTGTATGTGCGTACATGTGTCTATGCAATTGCAAGGCCACCACAACTGCAAAATTATTTAAAATGTCTGCAAAAAGCAGGCTGAAACGTAGTTTGAATCCCTTGCTACTAAAAGAACCGGTCCCGCAAATCAGAGTGCGATTATTTTAAAGGGAGAATTTGGCTTAACTCGGTTGTGCATTATTGCATTTATTAGTGGCAGTGGAGCTTTCTTAGCTACGGGCCAAGGAAAGCCACCATTTAAAAGATGATTACAGTGTGCTGAGTATCATTGTTCTTATTATCACTCCATTTTTATTTAGCCTGCTTTTAATTGCATGTATCAGCAAAGGCTGAATAATGATTTTATCTGCATTCCAAATTTAGGAGTTAAACGCAAAGCCAATTGCAGACACTTCCTTGTGCCTTAATTGAATGAAGGTCACAGCTATAACAACATTTAATTGAGCTATTTTTCATTATCATATTTTAATGACTTTGCAATGACAGTTTGCCGGCTTCTGAAGAAAAGGCCTGATGAAGTCGTTTATTTTCGTATTTAGTTTTTGTTTGACAACATCATCTTCGATTAAGGCAGGGTCTTTCAGTGCATTAATCACATTTGAATGAGCAGAGGGCAGGCGTGTAAACAGAGCTTCCTCTCCGGGTGTCCCGGCATGAAAGCAGACACCCAGCTCCATTGTCTGCTTTCCTAAGACTCGGCAACAAGGCTAAACGCGGTAATTGTCACCGCCCCTATCTCGCCCTTGCACCTTTCAGGGAGAAGTTATGATCTTCCGAATGCTCCGTAATTGTCCCATTTATCTCAATTTGCAGCACAGTCTTTAGGCACCAATTGCTAAAATGGTGGGAGGGAAAACTTCAAACCAACGTAGCTCCTGTGCGCTGGCAAAAGGGAGATTTCAATGTCCAAATAGTAGTAGTAGTAGTAGTAGTAGTAGTAGTAATAATAATAATAATAATAATAATAATAATAATAATAATCAGTTTAATTTCCCTGCACATGACCAGTGATTCAGGTTCAGATTTAATAATCATGGTTGCATAATCTGATTATGAAAGAAATAATTTCTTTACAATCCCCAATTTCCTGCAGTGAATTCCATTATCTCTCCTCAGCCATTGGGTTTTAAGAGATACTAACATGACCCAGGGGAAGGAGAGGCATGCTATTATATTTCCTACAATTAGATCTTTGCATAATCCTAACCCCAAGCACCTACATAAAAAGAAGACAGAAACAGCAGGCAGGAAAAGCCCCATAAATAACATATGTGGGCATTAAAAAAAACTTGGCTCTTGCTAAATAAGAGATGTGTGTGTGTGTGTGTGTGTGCGTGTGTGTGCGCGTGCATTTGTGCGCACGCGCCTGCAGATGTGGAGCTATTAGGCACCTGGTTCCCTCTTCCGGGGTCTTTGCAAATGGAGATGCCCTCCCCCCTGAGAGCGAAGGCCCAGCCAGATGGGTGTCCAGGGGAGGGAGGGGGCGCCCTCTTAAGCAAGGCTCTACCTCTTCAGCTCCAGGGTTAGAAAGGAGGCGGCTCCGTGACACCTTTTGGCCTCCAGAAAAGGCAGAAAGAAAAAGCGGGCTCTCCTGGGGAAAACCTTCCCTGGTATCCAGGCTCCTTGGTGCCTTGATCTCAGAGGTGGGGGAGTTAAAGGGAAGGCTACCCAAACTCTGGAATTTTGCACTAAGAAAACGGGGGGGTTGTTTTTTTTCCTGCCATGTTCCTGCTGCAATTCCACCCCTGGTTTCCCTGAAGGGAAAAAACGATATTAGGCCCCCAGAGGCAATGAGGCCCCTGCGGCTCCGCCCCTAGGAAGACTCTGCCCCACCCGCTGGAATGAATGGAACCGTTCTCCCCGCCCCCGCAATCCCCCCCCCCCCTCGTGCCTTGGAAAGACCCCGGGCCCTTCTGTCCGCCCAGGTTTTCTGAGAGCGGGACAGCCGGAAACCAAGGGACCCATTTCCGCACAGGACTTAAAGGGAAGCCTGCACGCAACCTCGGTCTCTGCGTGTCGCCCAGGACGCGGCCACCTTTTCCCCGCAAGCGAAGACCCGAAGCGCTCCTGAAGAGCGGGCGTCTCTGCGGCGAGAGGCTCCCGAGAAGGGATCCGTACGAGTCAGGCAGAGAAAAGGCTGCTTCCCGCACCCAGGAGAGAAAGCGGCAAGTCCAGCGCAGCCAAAGCGCGCCCAATCCAACGAAAAAAACACGCGCAATTCCGCTAGTCGACGAGCTGCTGCCGGAGACCTTTGGCTAAAGGGGGCTCTATTTCAACGCACCTCGTTCCTTCTGACACCCAGGAGGAAGGAGGGAAAGCCAGGAAACTTCCGCAGAATTGATAGGGAAACAGCCTCTCTCTGGGTGTCTCTTCTGGGTGTGGAAAAAAATATTCGCCCCTTCCCCCCAAAAGGATGAAGGGGAGCGGAGGAGCCCAGAGGCGCAAGAAACGGACCGGACCGGACCGAGCGAAGCCCGAAAGCCTCGCTGGGCGAGAAACGGACCCGGGGCGGCTCCGGAGGGCCTTCTCGGTGCCCCCTTCGTCCAGATCAAGGCCAGGGGCTTTTGCCACGCGGTCCCCTCCCCGGATAGCAGCTCCGCCGGAGCCCCGAGAGCCTCTGCCCCCCCCCCCCCCTTCCCCCGGGGCCGCCCCTCCCCTCCCCCCTCCCCGGCAGGGAAATGGGGGGGGGGCGCTGATGTAATTTAGTGCCTGAGAGACACGGACAAATTAGTGTAGAACATTATCCCTGGTTAATTATGAATGACCGATTAATCAACCTAATCTAATATTCCACATTATGTTGATGTTATTAAAGTGCATCGTGAAAATGACAGATCGGCTTCATTTCTTTCCTTGGGCCAAATGGGCCGAGGGGGCCCCTGGCGGGCGGAGGCGGCGGGGAAAGGGGGGAAAGGCCGGGGCGCCTCTACCTGCACGCGGGCCTCGGTCAGGTTGATCTTCATGGCCAGCTCTTCCCGGGTGAAGACGTCCGGGTAGTGAGTCTGGGCGAAGACCGCCTCCAGCGCCTCCAGCTGTGGGGGGAGACAAGCAGTGCGTCGGGCGGGGCTCCCGGGCGGCCCCCGACCCACCTCGGCCCACGGCGGCCCCCGCGGAAGGGCGGAGCGGGCCGGTACCTGCTGGAGCGTGAAGGTGGTCCGGTTCCGACGCTGCTTCCGACGGAGGAAGCCGTCCTCGAAGTCCGCCGTGGAGGGCCCGCCGAAGGCCGTGGCACCTGAGCCGGGAGAAAGGGCCGCTCAGAGGGAGGCTCCCAGGCGCGCAACGGAGCGCTTCGCCTCAGGGAAGCGAGCAGGGAAGCCTGGCCTTTCGCGGTCGAGGTCCCGGCAAAGGAGCCGCACCCAGAAAGAGGCGGCGGGGCCGGCCTCTCCGTTGGGCGCCTTTGGGAAGGACCGACAGGGCTGAAATCGCCCGGGAAGGAAGCCGGAGCTCCGCGATTCTTTCCCGGGAGGAATGGTCAAACGGGCTGCGCTCCGGCCCAGGGCGGGGGGCCGATCCTCGGGCCAGGGGAGCCAGGGAAGGGCCAGGGGGAAGGGCCGCGGGGGGGGGGAGGGCCGAGCTTCCACGCTGGGCGCCCTGGGGCGATGGCCGAAGCCCCACCAGCAGAGCCGCGGCGCTGGGGGCGGTCGGAGGGAAGCCCCGGGACCCCGTCCAGGCCAGCGCCGCTCCTTCCCGTCCTCCGTGCGGGAGAAAGTCCCCGCGGCCCTCCGACGAGCGATCCCACAGGCCGAGGGGAGCTTCCCGCAGGGGGCCTGGCTCTTGCCCGGGTTCCGAGGAAAGGCCCCGGTTGAGCCTGGAGGTGCCCTGCAAGCCCATCGGAGTCGCCCTTCGGCCTCTTTCCGACTTCCCTCGGGGGTTTTCTCCCGCCTCCTCTGGGCTCTTACAAACCGCGGAGGAGCCACATTTCTTTCGCCTCTTCCAGGGGAGCCCAAGGCCTGCCCGCCCCCCAGGCGCCACTGCAGCGGCCGCAGATGCGGAGGGGTCCTCGGGGCGGCCTCCGGCCTCCTTTGCGGACGCTCCAGCGGTGCCTACGAAGGAGGCCCGGCCCAAAGGGGTCCCGCGGGGAAGAGGGGACGCCGAGCGCCCGCTTAGAAGGCCGGGCCCAGCGCTGGTCCGGGGAGCCCTTGAGCTCCCCACGCTCACATCTGTCCAGCCGCCAAGTCTAAGCGGACGGAGCGGCTAGGCTGGGCTTGACCCCGGCGTCCCCTTCTCTCCGCGCGGCTCGCCTACCCGGGCAACAGAAGTGCCGTTTGCCCCTCCCAGGAGAAGCCTCCCCACTCCGGCCGACGCCTCTCGGGAGACGAGGCACTTAGAGCCCCAGGCTCCTTCCCGGAGACCCCCGCCAGCCTTTCCCACCGGCCATGACTTTCGGGATGGCTGGAAACCAGCGGCCCCGCCTGCCCATTCCTTCCTTCCTTCCTTCCTTCCTTCCTTCCTTCCTTCCTTCCTTCCTTCCTTCCTTCCTTCCTTCCTTCCTTCGCCCGCCAGGCTTCAGAGCCTGCAAGTTTTCCCCTCGGACTCTTCCCCGTCCCTCTGCCGCCAAGAGAGAGTCGGGGGGGCTCGCCTTCCTCCCGCGGGAAGCCTCCCTCCCCTCTCCGGCTCCTTCCCAGCCGGCCCCAGAAGGGCAGATTTATGTCGCCCCCGGGACAGCCGCCCCAACCCCGCCGCCTCCCGATGACAGGCGAAGCGGGAGCATCTGGGCGGCAGGAGGCGGCAGGAGCCTCCGGGCTTGGCCTCTCAGTGCCCGCGCGCCGCTCTCCGGCTGCAGCGGAAGCAGGTGGGCCGCTGGCCGCCAGACACGTGCGAGGCCGGGCCGGAGCGGCAGGCGAGTCCCGTTCGGTCGCGCTTCCCCAACGGCCTCGGGCCCAGCGGCCCAGCTCGCTTCTCTTGAGGCCGGGAGCCTGAGCGCAGCCCCGGACTGCTCTCCTCCTGGGCTCGGCCGAGGGAGCCCAGCTGCCGCCCAGGAGCGCTTCGCCCACCCGAGAAAGTTGCGCGCCTACTTACGGTTGGGATCGCACGCGAACACTCACCCTCCAGCGGCGGCGGACAATGGAAGTAGAACATGCCGAGCGGGTCTGGGAGCTGCAGGCGGCGGCGGTGGCGGCGGCCGAAGTGGCTGGAACTGCGGAAGAAACGAGGGAGGTTGGCCCGACGGGACGGCGCCGCTCCTTGCGGGCCGGGCTCGCTCGGCAAGGCGACCCTGCCGGCAGCAGAGGGCTAGCCGTTCCCCGCAGCTCCTCGGCCCTCGCGCCCGCTCCCCTCCGCCTCGCCTCCGCCGGGCCCTCGCTCCAGAAGCCGTGGCCCGAGAGCCAAAGCAGGGCAAAGCGGGGCGGGAGGGAAGCCTCGGCCTCCCTCGCCCCGACGGCTCCTCCAGCTTGCCCGGGATGGGTTGATCTGAGCAGTCCGAGGCGCCGCCCCTGCGGCTTCAGCCCTCCCAGCCCGAGGCTCTCCCAGAGCTGAGGCCGGGAAGCGCTTCCTTCCCTCGCAGAGCCTCCACCCCCCGCAGCCGCGCCTCGAGCCTCGTGGGCTGACGGGACCTCTCCTGCCGCGGCCTGGGAAAGGGCGCTCGGCTCCGTCGGCGCCGCCGGATGCAGTCGAGGCGGCGACCCGGGAAAAGGCCTACTAACCGGCAGGGAGAGGCGCGGCGGCAGCTGCCGGCGTCGGGGTAGCCGCGGGCGGGCGTTGGCGGAGCCGTGCCAACGGGCAGCTGCCTGGGCGAAGCTCTCTCCAGCCCGCTCAGCCTCCCCGCCCTCGCTTTTATAATCTCACGCGTAATTGGCCTTAATCGGATTATTGCCGGCGCTGCGAGGAGTGAGGAACTTGGATAGGTCTAGTGGGCCTTCCCAATGACCCACGTGGTGCGTGGCGGGGGGGGGGGACCGACGTCATTTCTCAGTCAGCATCCCGAGCCCCAGCCGTGGGAGGGAGGGAGGGAGGGAGGGAGGGAGGGCAACTCCGCCGCCCCATCCGAGCCCAGGCCTCTTCGACACGCACGAGGCTCCAGGGCCCGCGGGTCCCTCCCGGCCCGCCTCCACCCCTTTCCTGGCGGGGGTCGGCGTTGGCACCGGTGCTTGGCTGGTGCGCTCCTTCCCGGGAGCGCTAATGGGCCATTCGGTGGGCTTTCCAGGAGCCGCCTCGCCTTTCCGCGGCGAGGTTTGATTTTGTTCGCAGCGAGGGGTCTCCGGATTGAAACTCGCTTCCCGTCTGCAAATGAGAGGCGGTGGGACCCTCCGCAATTACTTTTAAAGCGCATTGGAGACTCGGCGGCGAGAGAGATGGCTCAACCCCGAAGCCCGGGTGAAAATGAGGCTCGGAAGCCTCCAGCTGAACATGTGAATTCGGGGGGCGCCGGATTGGATGAGAAGACATCAAACGGAGGAGGGGGGAAGGGATGGGGGGCATAATAGGCTCCATAATAGCGGCACGCCAAGATAACGGCTGCCGATGGCCCCCCGCCCTATTAAGAGCTTCCCTGGCGCAAAGCCTTGACGGCGTGAAAAGGGGATCTAATGATATTTGGGTTATTAAATGCGTGTAATTAATTTATGCACCACTGAAAATAAAGTTGGTTTTTGACCCTCTCAAGATGCATTAGACGATGCAAGTCAAACAACTGTTGATAAATGGATCTGATTCTCCTCTTTGATTGGCAACAATCCCCTGTCGGAAAAGTTAGAAAGGCGAAACGTGCCGCAAAAAACGGGCTTTCTGAAACGCAGAATCGAAAGCCTGATTTGAAGCCCGGGACGAGGAGAGGGACCGCGGAGGCGTCGGAAAGCCCAGACTGAACACCCGGGAGGCTTAGGAAATGATGGAGGAGGAGGAGGAGGAGGAGGAGGAGGAGGAGGAGGAGAAGCTCCCCTTCCTTCAGCTCCCTTCATCCCAGGCAAACGATTAGACGTGAACTACCCCCACCCCCCACCCATTTTGCCAGAACTGCTCCTGGATGCCGGTTTCTCTGCCCGCAGCTTCCCGCAAAAACTGAAGGAGAAAAACGGTGTTGCTCTCGATTCGCAGCCCGAGGAAGGAGCAGGGGGTTCAGGCCAGAAGCGGCTCCTCGAGATCGCCAGCGACAAAATTTGGGGAAGGGGGGGGGGCGGCCAGAACGGATCCCGTTTGGCTCAGCAAAGGCCGGGGCGGTGGAGGCCGCTGGGCTCTTTTCCCCGACGCCTGCCCGGACAGCGCCCTTGCCGGGGAAGACGCTCCCTTCCGTTCCCCGGCGGAGGCGGGGGGTGCTATCCCTTCCTCGGGGCATTCTTCGGGCGGCTCCCGTCAAGAGGGAGGCGAGGCAGAGCCTCCTGGGCCGCTTCCCCGTCTCGCTTCTGCTCTTCGCGGCTCGCAGTTGAGCGAGTTCCGCCCGGGGCTCCGCTGGCCTCCTTCGGGCAGAGAGGCCTGTTAGGGCCCCGTTCCGGCCGGCGGTGACCCACCCGGGCTCGGGCGGGACGTTCAGGCCAGGGAGAGCCGTGGGCTCCCGGAGGGGGACCTTCGCAGAAACTCCGCCCAGCTGGTCGCCAAGCGTGGGGCTGCGGGGGGAGCGGGACGCCCAGCAGCCTCTCCCCCTCCCTCCCTCCCTCCTTCCCCGTCCCCCGGGCCCTCCGCTCCGGATTCAGCACCAAGGACAGAGGCGGCAGGGAGGCTCAGCCGCGGGCGGGGGGAGGGGGGGACGGGACGAAGCGCAGCGCTTTCCTGCCCCTGCAGAGCTGGGCCAGGGCTGGGCGGGGGGTGCCGGCCCTTCCCGCGGCGCTTTGAAGGCCCTTCCCCGCTCAAGGAGTTGTGGGGCCAACTGCGCCGGACGAAGCTTCCGCTGGACCCGCCACTCCTGAAGCGCCTTTCGGGCGGCCCCGCCGCCTCTGCTAAGCTGTAACAATCCGGGAGGGGGCCGTGGAGGGCGGGGGCTCCTCAAACCAGCCCCGGTCTCGGCGCAGACCGCTTGGCCCAGCAGCAGCGCAGCTGGCAGTCCGCTCCCTGAGCCCTGCTCTTGGGGGGGGGGAGGCGAAGGGGGTCGGAAAGAAGGCGCGGCGTCGGTCGGGCGCTTGTGGGGAGGGCGCAGCCAAGGGAGCCCGTGCCTTGGGCGCTGCAAAGGGGCCCCTGCGAAGCCTTCGGCTCCGAGAGCGCCGTTGCGGCGGGGGTGACTAAGAGGGAGGGGGCGCTCTGGTTCCAGAAGCCGCAAGCCAAGCCGTCCCCTCCCCGAGCTCCAAGGCCTCGTCCCGAGCCCGGCCGATTCTGCCGCCGCCGCCGGTGACTCAGTCTCCGGCCGACGGAGTCTGACGCAGCGGCGGAGAAGCGGGTTGTTTACGACGGCTATTATTTAGGGCTTTTTATTGCGGCTTTTATTTTCCTATTATTTAGCAGCGTCGTTGACCGCCAGAAGTAGCGACAAAGCGTTTGTATTTTATCTCGATCCGTGAGCAGTAAAATATACTTTCCAATTAGTCAAATTTGCAGATTCGCCCCGCTTGGACTCGCTTATAATTTATAAGAGAAAGATGCTCTTTCTTTCTCCAAAGACCAAGGTGACTGTTCTTCATTTCCTCTCACCTTTTCTACACTTGATGTTCACCAGACTCATAATGTTAATTGGCTTCATGTACGGATCATCAGTTTAATGAAGGAATCAATCCTGGGTTCTATTCTTTATGGCCCTCCGCCTGAACAGCGCGGGCTTTCATGGCGAATGGAACAAGTCCCCAAATGAAAGGCGCCAAAGGCCTCGTGCGGGGCTCCCGGGGGGCGGCGGGAAGGGGGGGGGGAAGAAATGGCACCCCACCAGCCCCGCTCCTAACACAGCCAGGCCAAGGCGGCGGCGGCGGCGGCAGCAACAGCAACGGCGGCAGCGCTTCCTGGGTGCCCTGGATGGCGGTTGGAGGGAGGCCGAGGGGCTGCGCGGCGCTTCCTCCCATCTTCCTCCCTCCCTCCCCAATGGGCAATGAGCCAGTGGGCCAGCGGGGACGAACAAGTCCGGCCTTGGATGGTAAAGGGAAGGAGAAGATGGGAAGACGGAAACTGGGAGGAAGAGGAGGAGGCAGAAGAAGAAGGAAAATGGAAGAAGAAGAGGGAGGAGGAGGAAGAAAAAAAAGAGAAGGAGGGGGAGGAGGAAGAAGAAGAAGAAGAAGAAGAAGAAGAAGAAGAAGAAGAC